TCACCCCCCCGGTGGCACCGGCGGCAGCGTCTGGCGGCTGTGTCCCCGAAGTAGCCCAGGGGACACTCGCTCACGCACTTCCTGTGGGAGCAGGAGCTGGTGAGGGCCTTTGGTGGGGCCTTGCTAATGCACCCCAGGCCTGCACCCACTTACAGCCCCACCCTGCGTCCAGCTGGGGAGGATCCCCCAGTCCAAAGCTGCCCCTTCGAGTCACAAAACTCCAAGGAAATGGAAGCACAGGGGTGCGTGAGAACACTGGTGTAAAGGGTCCAGGACGCAGACAAGAACTCGGGAGCCCATCCAGCAGGTGGCATGGTGGTTAAGGTGCTGGACTCCCACATGGCTGCCAGCAGTTCAAGTCTCAGACCTGGGACTCAAACCGTGGTCAACTACATGGGAATCCAGCGACATACCCATTAGGCTAACGGCTGAACCCGGGGGCTTGAAACTCACCCTGGGCGCGTGTGCATGTGTGCCCCAAATTGTGAGAGGAGAAGGAAGAAGGGATTGTGGTGTGGCCATCCCCCTCGGGGGGTGGTTTCTTGCTTCCTCTCTCTGTCTCTCTGTGTCTCTGAAAAGTGCACACACCCTTCGGCAAAAAAAAAAAACAAAAAACTTTAAAACAAAACAAAACAAAACAGGGACCAGCAGTTAGCATAATGGCTATGTGGCTGGACTCCCAGGTAGTTGATTGCGGTTCGAGTCCTGGACCTGGTGACTTAAACTCACGCCGGGCGTGTGTGCGTGCGTGCCCAGGGTCCCGAGAGGAGAATGGAGGAGAAGGGATTGCGGTGTGGCCATCCGCTCTGGGGGGTGATTTCTCTCTTTCAGTCTGTCTCTCTCTGTCCTTTTGGTGAGTGCACATGACCTATAGCCAAAATCTCTAAAAAAAACAAAAACGAAACAGACCAAAAAAACTCGGGAGTGGAGCTAGCAGGTGGTGTGGTGGTTAAGGCACTGTATTCCACATGGCTGACTTTGTAGTTCGAGTCTTGAGTCCGGAGCTTTGAACAACATGCCGGACCTGTATGCATACATGCATGTCCCAAATCCCAAGGGAACAATGGAGGAGATGGCATTGTGGTGTGGCTATCCCCTTGGGGGTAATTCCTCATTTTCCATCTCTCTCTGGCAAAAATCTTTTTAAAAAAATTATTACTACTATTTTTAATTTTTTTTGGAGAGGTTTTTGCTATAGGGCACGTGCACTTGCCAGACAGACAGAGACAGAGAGACAGAAAGCGAGAAATCACCCCCCAGGGGGGATGGCCACGCCGCAATC